TACACATTCTTCTTCAGGGAGAGAAGACTTCTGAAGATCACCACATAACTCTAAGAATGAAAATCAGACTAGAGTTATGTATTTAGGTTTCAATAGCTTTCTATCGATTGATGTGAGTGCAGCAGAATACTATTTTTGAACATTTTTCATTCCTAGTTCGTGTTCCTAGTTGCTCATGGCATTTTATTCAATGACTCATTGATGGTCACTGCTTCAGGAGGGAGAGAAAATGAGGACAAATCAAAGGTATTATTTTGAATGTCAAAGTCAAGTTCTTTAAATCCAAAGGAAGAGAAGTGTCTGGAAGCCAAAGGCTTTTGATTTGTCAGAGCCATTCTGGAAGTAAAAAGAACTTTTGGGAATCTACAAATTCTTTGTGAAAATTAAGGATCGGAGCCTGGCTGAATTAGACATTGTCCTATCAACTAGATTTGGGTAGAATGCATAATGATGCCAGAGCAGTTTTCTCATCCAAAAAGAGTTAAGAGTTTGATCAAGTAGGAAAGAAAATTGAAAGGAATATAGCTACAGCTTAGTTGCAGAGGTCTGAGATATTCTTGGCACCCTTTCCTCTTCATAGGTTCACCCCTATTTTTGAGGTGTATGAGAAAACCTTTGATAGGTTGTACACTGACTATACAACAGACTAGATTAACTCAGAATCTCTGGGGTGAGGTCAAGACCTTAATATATTTAAACAGATGCCTCTATATGTCTTTCCTCCCTGAGTTGACCTATTGTTTAGGCAAGTATTGAGAACCAGTGGCTTATGGGGATCCCAAAGAAGACATATGTAACGTCTGTCTTCCCACTGTGTATGCCAACCTCATAGACAACCTCCCTGCCAACACCTGCCTGCTGACTCCATTCAACATGGCATCTGAGCACAGAATCTCTAGGCAAACTAGGGAATATCTTACTGAAGACAGTTTAGACTTGACTACTGGTGCCTCTTATGCTGGATTTTGAAGTCAGCTTTATGAATTGAGGGTTTGGTGGACAAGTTTGACAGTTTAAGCACTGACGTAGGCAGGAAGCCAACTATTAGCTGTAAGGTCTGAAACCCATGAAAATGTCCCCCATAGAACTCAACACAAGGGACAAATCTGACTAGAACTATTCACCAGCATCACTCACAATTCCTGGATGATTATTTGGCCAAAGCCTCATAAACTGCAATTCCTAACTAAAACACTGACTAGGTGTTCAAAGCTCATGTGCCCTCACCAAAAACCATAATCACAATGAAAGCCAATGCTATCTATGAATGTACATGAAGACGATTCATTAGACCCTCAACCTTTTAAAGGTATTTCCAGCTCTTTCATTTAAAAATGAGGAAACTGCCTCAATTTAGTAATAATTTAGGACAAGTTCTGCTCATGTGCAGCAGTTAAATAAACTTTGAAAAAGACCCAAGAGTCTTCATGAAGTTGGAATTAGAAGGCCTTCAGAAATATTCAGGTAAGGACAGATAGGAGTAGAAAAGCCTCCCAGAGTCATCTGGACCTGTGCTGCCAGCACAGTAGCCACTGGTCACATACAACTCTTGACAACTTAAAAAGTGGCTATAGTCCTGAATAGAGATGTGCTGTAAGCGTAAAACACAACCAGATTTCAAAGACTGAAAAAAAAAAAGCAATATATCACTTTAGAGTTTTTATATTATTAAATATATGCTAAAACAACAGTTTGGATATTAAATACCTTTGGCCTTTGCAACATTTGATTTCCAACAACAGGTGAACTTTATATATCGTTTGATGGATATCATCTATTTAGATAATATCCTTAGTATTTACAGATTTAATAATATTCCAAGTGTTAACGTGTTACCTTGAAAGGTGCATACAGGCTTTGATGATACACAGTTATTTGATATTTTTCTGAAATATAAATTTGTATTTGCTAACACTGTATAGTCTATGTTCAGTTACCCAACTAGTTATCTTGCCACCAAATAATCAAGCCAATTGGAAAGCATTAAATCTCAAGGTGACTCTGTTGGAAAGATATTTTTTAGTTACATACTCTTTAAATCTCTTAATACACATTAAATTCAAAGGTTCATAGAAAACATTACTACAAAAATAAGGCACTACATGGCAGAATTTTAAAACCCTGCTTTATAATTACAGCATCATTAAGGTATTGCAGAAAAATTATTGTTATTTTTACTCATTTTATGTGGGAAGGCAAATCTTAAACCATGTGGAAATATTTATAAAAACAGGGGCTTTGACATCTTTGAATATCTCCCTGTCAGGTATTAAGTTTACAACATTTTCACAGGCCTTGCATTGTAGGACTTCTTGGTCTAGGAAATCGTAAGTGAACTTTAAGAGAAATTTGTGAAAACTTGAATTGGCGTTTCCATGAGTATGCTGTATCAAATTAGGGAATCCATGAGGAGAGTTGTCTCCTTGACCCACATGGATATCCCAAGGTTTCTGCTGCTCTTCCAAGGAATGTAAGTGTACCAGTATTCATTTCCCAACTTTTGCTAAACAAAGATTATGATGGGGCCAGCAGCAACTCATAGCCTTCCAAGAAATCATAAATCTCTTCTGGTCCTCCTCTTACCTAGGCCAACCCAACCTATTTTAACAGCAGCATCTATCAGGACAGCAGGCTCTATTTTTCCTATATGTCTACTTCTACAAGATCTTGCTTTCAACAGATTTACTTGTGTTGTGAAGATCTGAGAAGACTGGCATAATGGAAAGAGTATGGGACAAATGAACCAAAGAGAAAACCTCAAGAATGCTTCAGAGTGCATCTCAGCATTTCACTAAGCAAACCCGGGAAAAGCATGGCTACATTCCAATAGGCAGCTAGAGCTAAGCAGGGAGGGGACATGAGGAAAAGTCCAACCCAACCAACCTAGACGTCGTTAAACTAGCTCAACAATCCCACTTATCACATACTTACTGACACCCTAAACATTTGGGTAGAGATACCTCCTACACCCTAATAGACACTGCTATGATCTGAATGTTTGCCCCCACTGAAATTTGTGTTAAAACTTAATTCCTAATGTATCAATATTAAGAGGTAGGGCCTTTAAGTGGTGATTGGATTATGAGGGCTATCTATGTCTCCAAAAATGGATTAATCTATGCATGGATTAATGGTTATTATCAAGGGACTAGGTCAGTTCTCACAAATGGGTCTGTTGAAAAAGCTAGTTTGGTTTTCTCTTGTGAACTCCCTCACCAAATGAAGCACTGTGCTGCCTCTGGACTCTGCAGCACTGGCAACAGAATGGACAACTAGAACTTGTCCCAGATGGGTCAATTCTGCTCTCTAAATCTGTTCTGTTCTTCTGCACTTGCTTTCCCTATTTTCATTGCTTTAGTTCTGCCCCTCATCATCTTGCCTGAATTAGTATAAACGTTCTAACACGTCTCTCTGCCTCCAGTCTCATACCTCTCGTAAGTATAAATGTGATTATCTTTTTCCTGTTTCAAATCCTTCAATTATAGTTTAAGACATAAATCTCTTCATGATTTATCACCTGTTTACCTCTCCAGACATAGCAACTTTCTTCTTTTTTTATTTTTGGAGACAAGAGTCTCACTCTATTGCCCAGGCTAGAGTGCAGTGGGACGATCCCAGCTTACTGCAACCTCCGCCTCCTGGGCTCATGCCTCAGCCTTCCAAGTAACTGGGACTACAGGCGCACACTACCGCACTGGCTAATTTTTGTATTTTTAGTAGAGCTGGGGTTTCGTCATGTTGGCCAGGCTGGTCTCAAACTCCTGGCCTCAGGTAGTGATCCATCCCGCCTTGGCCTCCCAAAGTGCTAGGATTACAGGTGTGAGCCATCGTGCCTGGCCAACATAACATTTTGTTTTTTTTTTGAGACAGAGTCTCACTCTGTTGCTAGGATAGAGTGCAGTGGCGCAATCTCAGCTCACTGCAACCTCCACCTCTCCACCAGGAGAATTGTTCAAGCAATTCTCCTGCCTCAGCCTCCCGAGTAGATGGACTACAGGCGCGCACCACCACGCCCAGCTACTTTTTGTATTTTTAGTAGAGACAGGGTTTCACTGTGTTGGCCGGAATGGTCTCAGTCTTTTGATCTCATGATCCGTCCGCTTCCCAAAGCACAGCAACTCTTTAAGAGTGTCTCACTTTCCTCCTATGTTTGTACGTGCTAAGTTTTTTGCCTTGGGAATACTCTTCCCAAACTTTCCACTTTGCATGTTCCACGTCCCCTAGAACTATGATCTATTTGTTCTTAATTACTTAAGTTTATCACTCTCTTGTCTAGTCTAATTTTCCTTTGTACCTCTACAACACCTTGTACATATGTCTATCAGAGCTTTTATTGTTCTCTATTACATGCTTGCTTGCTTTACCCACTAAAAAATTCAGTTCCTAGAGATCGGCTATCTCATTTCTACGTTCTTGGTCTGTATAATCTACAGAATCAAGTAGTGCTTTATGGTAGCTGATATAGTAAAATCACTGGGTTTTAGTGAGAGTGGAAATTAGCACCCATGATGTTCTCTATTATACCTAGGTTTCTTTAAACACTTCAGTTAAGGTCTTAGATATTACTACTACACCTCATGACTGGAGAGAATACTAAAATTATTCATAAGTGGGCACAAATATGTTTGTTTACACTAGCCACTAACATTAAGTGCTTACTATGTGTCTGGTGCTTACATACATGTACTTTTCTAATTAATCCTCACACCAACCCTGATGTAGGCAGTATTATCTCTTTTTACAAACAAAGTTGGTTGGCAGTGAGGGGGGAGGGGTGCTCTATCTTGCCCAGTGTCCCTAAGACTGTTTCCAGAACTCATGTTCTTACACTAGGAAACTCAGTATCTTTTACATCATGAAAATTGTGCTTCAACAGATTTTTTACTCTTTTTTTCAAAACATAATGAAATGTTACTAAATACAAGCTAAATTTTAAAAGTTATTGATTATACACTAGCAGATCACCCCTTCCCAAAACTTTTTCTTTTTTCTTTTTTTCTTGTTCCACTGAGTTTTATTGTAGGGATACACACAAAAGATGTCCACTCAATTCCATAGTTTCTTGATGGACATGTTTTTCCTCACTGTCCTTTGGCATGAGGCAGGACTTTGTACTATCTCAAAGTCCTTCTGAGTAACATGGACTCACTGTTAACTCAGAGCATACAGGCCGGTTTCTGTGCACATGCCCTTCACTCCAGCCCGATGCTCCTGACATAAGCTCAGCAATTTTTCTCAGGTTGATCCCCTGGGTCAGGTTGATTTCTGAGAATGAATCTTGAAAGAGTTGAAAGTGTCCAGTCAGGCCCCCTCATTGCGGGGTGGGAACTCAATTTTTCTGTCAATGTGCCCTGGGCAAAGCAGTGCCGAGTACAGGATATCAATCGTATTAGTAGCCGTGATACACCGTGATACTCTTGGTACCCTCAAAGCCATCCTCGAAGCATTGTCTGCTGCACTTCACTGGTCCCTCCAGCAACCCCCTCCAGCTATGAGGTGCCAATCAAGTCGATTTCATCCGTGAAGATGACAGATGAGGATTTTCTCTGCCATCACAGAAATTCCCCAATTAATTTCTGTACCAATTCAGAGCCAGAGATATGAATAAAGGTACAGTCCCTATGATAAGCCAGGGCCCAGGCCAACAGTGTCTTCCAAGCAGCACTCCCTTGGGCTGTGCAATGCCCAGTACTTTGAAGAGCTGGGGATGCTTAGCAGGCAGGTCGATCACTTCTTTGATCTCCTTGATCTGCCTATCCAGTCTACCAATTAATTTATAAGTCGAATCTGGTGCTTTCTTCACCATCATCAGTGACACCAATGAGTCCACCTTGTTGGGTAGGATCTTGTACAAAGTGTAGCTGTCATTTCTTAGAACCACCAGGGAACTGGGTGTCACGTCACTGATGCTGATATTTTTGTCCACATCTACGACAAACTTGTTCTTGGGATGCACCTGGACCAACACTTTCTTCTTATCCATGGCCTGGACTACTTCCCCGACATAGGAGTCCTGTTCCTGCAGCAGCTGTAGCTCCTCCTGAAATCGGCACACTTTAGTATTTAGTTCATTCCTGTGCACCTGCTGCCTCCAAAGGTTTAGGGTCTTATCATTCAAAAACAGCTGCATATGCATCTGGAGTTCAGAACTGTTCCTTGTGGCTTTCCCCCATCCAATTTATATTGCAGGTGACCCTGGAGTTCTTCAATCTTGAACAGATAATACTGGCAGAGTCCACTGCCTGCCTTTTCCTCTTCCGGCTCCATCTGCTGTGGTCTGTCAAGTGCCATCTTGTCTTTTCAGCAGAGAACGCCGGCATCTGCTTCCCTCCCCAAAACTTGACAGCTGTCCAATCATATTTCAATTACAACATTTACATATAGGTTTTACATCAGAAATGTCAAAGTACATCTTTTACTAATGGTTAATGTAACAAAGAAAGACTTCTTTGCCCAGTACTAATACACGCATTATTACTTATTATAGAATTTTCATTAATAATTTTAAATTCAATTTGTGGGAATGGATATACAAAAATAAAGAAGCCATAACATTAATTGATGGTATTTTTCAGCATTCAGCTATTTCTTAGTTTTATTGCAATTTATTGTCAACCTCTAGATAGAAGGGAGAATATGACAAATTTCCATGAAAGCACTCTTATTTTCTACTTCTAAATAATGGGATAATTTAGCAAGATCATTTGGGAGTTTTATTTATTAAAATAGGAATAATGAGCTTTTTCATTTCAATTTAGAATATACTAATACAAGCTGTTCCTAATACATTTTCTCTGTCTTGTGATTGATGCTTTTGATATCTTATTTAACAGGAAAATACCTAAGAGAGAAAATTAAGGTGTTACAGAAAGAGTTGTGGAAACCATGAATAAAGCAATAGAGCCATGATTTTCAATGAAACTCACATAAACAGTTATTATAAAGAAAGAAAATGTAATAGGCTAGTGTTATAAAGACCAGTATCACCAAATTCCAAAATCTCTTTTGACTTCTATAAGGGTCTGCTAACTGTATTATATGAACACAGGTACTCAAAATGCTACTAATAATCAAACCTTTTGAGATTTTGGTGCCAGAATTACCAGTAACAGGATACAAGCAGAACTTTATCAAACATAAATCATCAGTGCCCACCAATTTCAACCTACTAGGTCAGAAAAGGAAAGCATGAGAATTTAGTAACAGGAGAACTCTGTCATTTCTAGTGCCAAGTCTAGGGGTCCTGAGGTACCTCACTGTTCAGGTCAGAGCTAAGAAACACAATGTTGGTTCATATACAATGCTGGTTCATAGAAAACACAGTTTTATCACTTAAAGTTTTTCATTTATTTCTGTGATGTAAGTTTATGCCGTGCTGTTCTTTGTCTCTCCATAAATGAGCAACCAAAAATCGCTCTTATTATTAGCCATTGGTCTAAAATTAATGATAGCTTAAATATCTAAAAATAAACCAACCCCCGCTCTAAGTACAGTAATGTTGCATTTTCAACTAAAACTAAGTATTAACATATCTGGTTTCCTTCAGTGCCTTTCATTTTCCACAGAGAATCAGGTGACTTTGGAGACTGTGTGCTCACATTTAATACAGGAATTCTATGATTTAAAAAGAATATTCAGTTTCCTAGCTTAAGCAAGGCATTCACAAAATATGATACTCAAAGTATTGTTTGGATAAGTTATTACCTAGAAAGGTTTATCAGCTATTCTTGAATATGAATCACTATGAGTACACCACGTAGCAATTTCCTCTAAAGAAAACCAAGCAATTTAGTTTTAGAATGAAAAGATTTGGGGAGAAAAGAAAAGTAGATAGTAAAACAGAGAATTTAACTACTGTTATTCACAACACAGCAAAGAAAAAATCAGAAGTTACACACTTCAGAAAAAAGGGAATAGGCCAAAGACAAATGTTCGCATGCTAGAATTTTTTTTTTTTTTTAAACTAAGAAAATACCTGTACAAGAACAAGGGACACTGAACAAGGGCACTTCACATTTAATCACTCATTGCCAATAGATACTGAGCTCACCTCAGGATCAATCAAAATTGTTAGAAAATGGTCCAAATGAACTAGAAGACTTCCAGCAAGTAACAAACTATACTCATATTTAATAAGCACCATTTACCTCTATGTAGTTTTATATAGTTCTCAGCAATTTGATTTATATGAGAACTTCCTCAGTGAAAGAATAAGATGATTTGGATATTACTATCAATGCACAGTACAGATGTCAATTAGATGGTAAATTCAATTATTCTTAAATTTTAAAACAAGAGTTTCATGCTTTGTTCAAATATAGCTTATTTTTTAAAAAATTCCCCTCTTCCACTCTTATGTTAGGTAATATTTACAATGAGTTTACAGTCTTTCTCATTTAAAACAATGTCAGTATATCTTGCTATAAGATACTAATTTAAGTGACTGTTTTTAACTTCACTATACCCAAACTTAGCAATATGGCTGTGAGTCAAACAAACTTTGAAAAGGAACCTGCCATTTTCATTAACTCATTCAGACTGTAATCTTTGAAATACATATGGCAGATATGCTGAGGCTATTTGGGGGCTACATTTTAGTAAAGTAGCTAGAGTGAAAACTGAAATAACTACGTAACATTTAAAAGAAATATAAGAGTTGCACTAAGAAACCAAAACCTACATATTATGTAACATAACCTTTTTAATGTTGTTTTTGCTAACACGAAAAAAGTTATGCCGTTATTTATATTTCAATTACAACACTGCTCTTAAAACACAATCTATAATCCGTCTTGTAACCAGATCTGAAAAACACATATTAAGACTATAGTCTGTATCTCTGGCAAAAAGCCAAAGTAAAACAGAATAATTTTACTTTCTCCTAAACATTCTGGTAAGGGGAAAAAAAAAAAAAAAAAAAGCCAGATCAAAGTAAGGTGAGGATTCAAAATTGGCAATAAATCCATTATGGACAAACAGTGGCACTAAAGTGAACTTTCAGAACATATTGCTTTCTACATATGCATGTGTGATCTTATTTGAACATGAGTATTTACAAAGATTCTAGAAAGCTAAAACCAACTTGATAACCTAGGCTTTCAATCTTTATTGTATCCCTCATAATAATTAGTTGTCAGTAGTTTCAGCTTAGTATTTAAATATCTATTGTGATTTTATATCTTACTTATACTATTCAGTGTTTGCATAATAAATTTACAAATATTTTAAGTGACATTATATAGCATATTGCTTGTATTTTCCAGAATAATGACTTTGACTTTGAATAAAAACTGGAACATTTGGGCTTTAAAAACATTTTTTTCCCTCAATTTCTAAGTTGTTCTTTTTAGGAAGTCACTGACAGAGATTGAATTTAAAGTAAAAATGTCAACTTTGTAAATTTTGTCAAAAAAGGGATTGCTATAAACAGATTTAAGTGAATACTGTTCCAGACAAATATAATAATCAAGTAGCACTTGACACTGACAAACACTGAACTTTCTTTAAAACCATAGGAGCTTCTATTGTAGCAAATGCAGCACAGAACCTTATGACAAAGAGGGGCTAAAAAGTGAATTTAAGCCAATATAGGTTAGAAAGTAAACAACGGAACTATTAAATTGGTGCAAAAGTAATGGCAGTTTTTGCAATGACTTTTGCATTAACCTATCACAAAATCAACTTCCAGGAGAATATAGTTAATCCTCACAGCTGTAATAAATCTCTTCCTTTAAGAACGGAAGACAACAAAACAATTTTCATCACAACAGTATACCAGTGATAGAAAATGAATCAATTATTCACATTCTAAGAGGTTGTACTTGAGGAGGCTGGGCAGGAGGGTATAAAAGCTTACAAAATCGAAAACATGAAATAAAATGAATTCAAATTAAGACTTCATGGTAACAGAAAAAAATCAGAAAAAGAATTGTTTCGTTAAGGGACGAATATTTTCCATAACTAGTTAAAAAGCACCTATTAAACTGTGCCTTCAGCTGTCAAAATGGAGGTTTTGGATTCCTTTAGCAATTGCAGCATAACAAAAGGCATTTCACAGCATAACTTCAGGGAAAATGTTATCTGATCTGGAATCATACAAAAAGCAATTAAAAACTCTTAATTATTTATAATACACAAATTTTTCTGGGTAGCAGCAGTTGCTCCTGTACTTGCCCTTTTAAAAAATGTGAAACAGAAGCCAGAAAAAGTAGGGGAAAAAATTTAGAGAAGATTAAGAGTAGCAGCGTTAAATAAAACAGCAAATTCTTAAATACATTAGGAGTAAAGAAAGATTAAAACAAGGAAACAGTACTTACTGTGCAACTTTCAATTATACCAAGTAAAGTGCACCACCTAGTCACTGATAACATTTTCCCTATGTTGAAAACACAAAACCTACTTATCGATATTTTTGATATTAAAAAAAAAAAGACATTCACTATTGTAGCCCTGACAACTCTTCCAGTATTTTTAACCATTCAGATGTATTATGTGGGAATATTTATTAACATAATTTTGTTTAACACATTTCTTTCTATACAAACTGAATTTAAAAGTGTCTATAACATTTTCAATTACAGTAATAACACATGAATAAATTATAAATTAACAAAATCTTCATATCTACTTTAAAAAAATCATTTATCAAATGCTAACCTCCAGATTATCTGGAAAATTAAAGATGCAAATTGTTATAAATCTGGCATCCCAATTAAGTTACAATTTTTTAAGGTATATAAAATCTCCCTCAAATTATTCCAAGTTTCACTCCAGAAAATTTTATTTTACCCTTTTCTTAAGTTTACAGCCTGCTGAACATTTTACCCAAATTTGAGAGAACTGCCTGGAGATGCAAAGCACAATAAAATAATTACATGAAAAGAACAAACAAAAGATACCCGTTAAAACAGTTATTTTAGCTGGCAGCACTTAAAATTGGTAATCTGTATTTTTTTTAAGTTGCATAGCTGCAAGATGATTCACTGCTGATTAACTGCTGAGCAGTTTTATTTAAGAGGATAAGAATATTTAATAAATTGCAATTCAGTAGAATATTCTATATTTAATTAAAATGTAATTATGTAATGTGATTTGCTCTTTGGACTGCATTCTGATATTAAACCTTTAATTTAAAAATATTAACATATTTTAGCTTTCCTATGTAGAAGTCTATTTTTCACTCTTGGGGGAAAAAATGGAAGAACTTGAGATCATGGTCTACATTCAGAGAATGTTTTTACTGCTTGATTACATTTCTTGGTTTCACATTTAACACTTTAATTTATAAGAAGTAAATTATATGTTTTTCAATTTAAGAACAGATGAATGCAGGAACATTATGTTGGGGAAAACAAAGAGACCCCAAACTGAAAAACAAAACAAATCAAAACATAACTAGTTGTGCAGCTCTGGAGAACTTAATAAAAAGTAAATCAACTTTGAAATCAGTTAACTTTGGCATCTGAATACAAAATGTTTATCAGTATTACCTATGTAGATGACTATTAAGGGATATGCAGCATTTTCAAAATCCCTGTGTGTCCTTTGTATGCATGTTTGGTACACTGAGTTCTGTGGTCACTGTCCTTTCTTCAGCAGGGTTTTTACCCCAGTATGATTGTCCATCTCTGTATTACCAAGTCTCACAAAACTCAGATTTCTGGCTGAGTATGCCTGCATTTTTGTTTCTCCAGAGACAGATCTTCATATCCTCTTGGTTTTTCAAGCATCTTGTGAAGACGAGAAAACCTGTGTAAAAATAGATTTCTCCATGAACACTGCTTTAGTTACTGTAAGTTTTCATACCCTTACTTACTGTTCTGAAAACTCATAAAGCCAGTGATCTGGAGAAGAACAGATTAAGACACAGAAGGACCAATTAAAGTTTAGTCACAAAAAATACATAACGAAGTCATCCCCCTTTCACAATAAGGACTACACCCAAGTAAAGAATGCACACACACGGAGTTTTAAAATATTTCTCCTAAGTAACTAAAAATCCCAAAAAAAGTACAGCAATTTTCTAACTAATTAAGACCACAAATATTCATGTCTCTCTATTTTGGGTTGATTGTTAAATTCTTATGCTGAAGGATATCGAAAACGTTGAGCTTTATGGCTACATAGTGCCTTACAAAATGTTTTAACAACACTGAATCCTTCTCAAACCCATATACCTTTAATCTAGGACTATTAAAATGTATACAAAAATGTATCACTTGATAAATAAGGTCAGGACAGAAGCAAAAATGTATAAGAGTCAAGATATTCCATGTCTATAAATTCTTAAAAATGACTCTTCAAGACCCACAGAAGCAGACTCCATTGGTTCAGATTTCTGTAGACACCTGATGAACAGAGCATGTAGTAGGCTAGTTTCAAATTCAGGTTCTATATATGAAAACAAACAAATAAGCAAATATAACACTCATATGTAACATAAGAAAATGGAAATGTTGTTGAAGACCAACAGACATATGCATTTCAGCTATGAGATGAGATGTATGCTCCACATATCCCATAAGCTCCCTGTGACACTAAAGGAAAAATTCAGCCGATGAAAGAAAAAAAATTGTATACGACATAATTCCACCTCACAAAAAACAGCTTATCAGCTCTATGGTCTAAATATTTGTGTACTCCCAAAATTCCTATGTTGACACCTAATCTGCAGTGCTATAGTATTAAGAGGTGGGACCTTTGGGACATGATTAGGTGATGAGGGCTCTGACCACATGAATGCAGTCAGTATCATTACAGAAGCTTGAGGGAGTCTGTTGTCCCACCACATGAGGACACACAGAAGGTGCCATAAATGAGGCATGAGCCCTCAATAGACACCAAATCTACTGGCTGGAACCTTGATCTTAGACTTTCCAGCTTCCAGAACTGTAAGCACTATATTTCTATCATGTATAAATTACTCAACTAAGGTATTTTGTTACAGCAGCCCAAAATGCACTAAGAAAGAATAAAAAGACAAATTTTACCTATAGATGAAGGATTTAGATGTATTACTTTGACATGTAAAATACTAAGACAAAAATTTCATTTTGTTAGCAACAGTTTTCAGTACTTCCCTTACAATGCTTCTATAATTTTGGCCACAGTTTCATTTTGTCTCAAACGTAAGGTGACAATGAAGGCATTCCAAACCTTTTCTATGGTGAAATAAAAACATATGTGCACATATATTCAAAATACCACTCCACCACTATACTTTTCTTACCCAGTATTCTTACTTCCATTCACATTTTATTTATTTATCTATTTAGACAGGGACTTGCTCGGTCACCCAGGCAGGAGTGCACTGGTGTGTTCATAGCTCACTGCAGCTTCAAACTCCTTATCTGAAGCAATCCTCTGGCCTCAGCCGCCCAAACCTGGGATTACACTGTGAGCCACAGTGCTCAGCCTCAATTCATATTTTAAATGTGTCAAGGCATATTCTGAGTAAGTTCACAGGAAAGGTTAAAATCTGACCGTCAATTCATATTTTAAATGTGTCAAGGCATATTCTGAGTAAGTTCACAGGAAAGGTTAAAATCTGACCGTCTTTTAGTACTCTACAGTTTACCAAGGCTTTCACATTTCACATGCACATGCGTAGTCTTATGAGACTCAACTGCAGTTCTCATTTCAGGTGCTATTGCTGCTATTATCCCAAATCTTCTCTGTCAATATTCTAATCTGCTACTCTTAAATCATCTTCCACCAATACAGCAACAGAATTCCTTGACTGTGTTTATTACCTCAACACTTTTATTCTCAAATTTAAGAGAAGTTATTGAAATAAAAGGAAATGGGGGGACCAGCACAGGACTAGACCTCAGGATGTCATCTGGTCTAGTTCCTTGCCATCAGTCTCAGCCTCCCAGAAAAGTCCGCTGTTACTGTCTTGAGTCCCTGAACAAAGAGACTCTAACTCATGAAATTTAGCTAATTCTAGGATTAGCCAAAATGCTCTGCCTTGATATAACAATCCAATGCTTTATATCATCTCTGCAAGTCTTTTCATAAAAGCTTTTCATATATTTGAAGATAGCAATTAACCTTTATTTTTTCAAAGCTAAATGATGTCAATTTGATGTACTTATGAAATGTGAAAAAAAAGGCCTATGAAAATACCCAATTGAGGTCAGCATTCAATTCACGAAACATTTTCAGATAATGCAGAACCACGAAAAACTTAAATCAATAGAACAAAACTAGTTTTTTTTTTTTTGGTTGTAAAATGCAAATTTATTTTTTGCCTACTATATAGACAGGCACTTTATTACATGCTAAAAATATAAAAGTGAATGATTAAATTGAATGAATAAATTTATGATGCGACTTTTGGAAGAAAATATTCCTACCTAAAAAGAGTGAAATTGCTAAGAGCAGTCTTTGGAACCAGAACGCCTGGGTTCAAATTTCATCCCCATCAACAAACTAGTTATCTGACCTTGAAAAGTCAAGTTTCTTAACCTCTCTATACTTAACTTCTTCATCTGTGTAATAGGAATAGTAATGGTACTGAGCTCAAAAGGGTTATTGTAACAATTAGATGAGTTACTAACAGATGTAAAATGCTTACAACAACATCTGGCACATAATAATACTAAATGATTAGAACTATTATTTTTTGGTTTGGTTGTTTTTGAGAGAGTCTCGCTCTGTCGCTCAGGTTGAAGTACAGTGGCATGATCTCGGCTCACTGCAACCTCCACTTCCTGGGTTCAAGTGACTTTTTTTTTTTTTTTGAGACAGAGTCTTGCTCTGTCGCCCAGGCCAGCGTGCAGTGGCGCAATCTCGGCTCACTGCCAGCTCCACCTCCCAGGTTCACGCCATTCTCCTGCCTCAGCCTCCTGAGCAGCTGGGACTACAGGCGCCTGCCACCAGGATCGGCTAATTTTTTTTGTATTTTTAGTAGAGATGGGGTTTCACTGTGTTAGCCAGGATGGTCTCGATCTCCTGACCTCATGATCCGCCCACCTCGGCCTCCCAAAGTGTTGGGATTACAGGGGTGAGCCACCACGCCCGGCCTCAAGTGATTCTTGTACCTCAGCCTCCTGAGTAGCTCGGATTACAGGTGTGCACCACCATGCCTGGCTAATTTTTGTATTTTTAGTAGAGACGGAGTTTCACCACACTGGCCAGGCTCGTCTTGAACTTTTGGCCTCAAGTGATCCACCTGCCTGAGTCCTCCCAAAGTGCTGGGATTACAGGCATGAGCCAGCATACCCAGCCAACAATTAGAATTATGTAATATTTTTAATGTAAGTTTTCTATGCAGTAGCCTAAGTGTCTGAAACATACACACACACACTCATGCACCTCAATGAGTAAATGAATAAATTAAAATTATAGTTTAGAATGTATAATTTGGGCTAATGCTTCAAAAAGTAATTACAAAAAAATTACCTATAAAACAGGAAGCTGATGCTTAATCTGAAGGGTGCTCAGGGCAAGATCTATTTACTTCAAACCATTCATCTATGCAGCTAGAAAGGAACAAAACCAGAAAAATTGAGATACTTATACTAATTATGTATATCATGACAGTCACAGTAAAAATACTTACTTCTTGACTTTAATATATTTTTTGCAGAAAAAAATCAGCATTTTAAATTATATTTGGCATACATAAGTAACAGATAAGAATGTTTATTATATTTTGATTCTACGCAATTAAGAAAAAAAACTTTGCAAAAATATGCTATAAAGTCCTTTAAAGTTCAAATGGAACTACTTCCAAAAGATAATCTGAAGAACTAGCACTTTACTAATATTCAAAACTGAATGACAAATTCGGATAATTTCTCTTTTCAAAACAGTTATTCATTTATGCACATTATCAAGCTGTTCATGTCACCTATAAATGTAATAAAAAACAGCTTTTAAATTTTAATCCTTGCCAATATTTATCATTTTTAAAGCTATATTTATATGTGATTATTGAATATTTAAATTCTAGCTCACCATGTAATACATATACACACAAATAAATATACCATAAACCATTTGCATTTATGAAGTATTTCATGATCTTATTTTATTAGAAGCTAAATATTAGGGTGCATATGATCATCGTCATTGTAGATCTGCACTGTCCAACAGAGTAGACAAGAGCCACATACTGGTAATTTAAGATTTATTTAAATAAAATTTAAAAATCCAGTTCCTTAATCACACTAGCCACATTTCAAGCGCTCAACAGCAACATGGCTCATGACTACTCTAGGGGACAGCATAGATATAGAACATTTCCATTATGGTAGAAAGTTCTATTTCACAGTACCATGACAGACGACAAAATCAAAGTCTAGTAACTAGCTATTACTTTCCTAACAGCTAGCAAGTTATCCAAGCAAGATTCAACCTGTTCAACATTTTCACTGGTGACATATTTCAAATCTGGATATGCCGCAAAGCAACAAGGCTTGGTTAATATACTGAAGGGCAAAATTAACATTTATCATCCTCATGTCCAGAGAGGTTGGTTTGGTAGGAAAAGGGATAGATGAAATTAAAAAGAAAAAAGGTAGACTACCACATCAACAGGTTCTGTCAAATATCTGAATTTCAGTTGCCATTAAAACTTTTGTTCTCTAAATATATACCAGTTTGGCTTAAGACGTTGTTTTCAGCCTGCTCTCTACCACTTGGCCCTGGAAGTTCCATTGTGTCTACCAGAAAATCTCTTAAAACGAAATTCTGAGAATCAAACAAAATACTCCAGATGTGTTAATTCATAATATATCTGAATATTATCTATTTGCAATCTAACATGAGTACTCCTTATTTTACAACCAGGTAATTCTGGCTCATCATGAGAAAGTAATCATTTAAAACTCCAGGTCCTCTTCACATAAATGTCTATCAATCTACTTATGTTCCATTCTAAGCTATATTTATTTGTTATTTACATGATATTACCTTCTCTCAGACCTAGCAGGAAAGCACTATCCTCAATTTGGTACTTTTCATTCCTAGGCATCTTATTACTCTATATAACTATATATGCGTATATTCTAAAACAACATATAGTACTGTTTCCATGTTTAAAACAGTTTGAGATTTGCAATTGTAAGTCTCTTGTTTTCACAATTTCACTTTTTGTTTTTTGAGACAATCTTGCTCTGTCGCCGAGGCTGGAGTGCAGTGGCAACATCTCGGATCACTGCAAACTCCGCCTCCCGGGTTCAAGCAATTCTCCTGCCTCAGCCTCCCTAATAGCTGGGATTACAGGCACCACCTGACACACACCCAGCTAATTTTTTTTTTTTTTTTTTCCAGTAGAGACAAGGGTTCACCATGTTGGTCAGGCTAGCCTTGAACTCCTGACCTCAGGTGATCCACTAACCTCAGCCTCCCAAAGTATTGGGATTATAGGCATGAGCCACTGCACATGGCCTGTTTTTACATTTTCATTGTGCACAGCATTCCATTATATAAATATACACAATTTACATATACATTCTTTTACTGATGGATATTTTCAATGATGCTATGAATATTCTTTGAGATAAGGAGTTTGTGCCCAAATACAAGTTAATTTCCTCATTAAGCACACTGTTTCAAATCACTTAAAAAAATCACAGCAAAGCTTTCTCAATGAAAGAAGCATAGTGTTGACTTAACTGGCAGAAACTCCTTATTGCCTTCTGGACTTGCACTTTAAATAGTAGCACTGTCTTACAGCAAAAGATCAAGAGTTTCTCTAGGGCATACATGCAGAGGTGGAATTACTGAGTTGTAGAATATGTACTCCACACAGCTATTACAGAGTTATCTACAAAATATGCCTATTTATATTATTTATTGGCCAATTGAGGGTCCTTTTTTCTGAACTGACTGATAGTTTTCTAGGAAACTATTATCCAGGTATTTCAGTTATAATATACAGGTTTTTGACAAACACTGCTTTCCACAAAACTGTAAGCTAAAAGTAACCGGGCTTGGGGGCAAAGTCAGGTTTAAGGCAGACTACTCAAATAACACAATTTTATCACCAGAACAAAGACATGCTCATTCCCAATAAATAGAACACTACTGTAAATATGTTTTTTTTAAAATGGTGAAGTTAGCTTTACAGAAAGAGGATTAAGGTAGGATTGAGACTGCTGAGTTACAAAGAAAAAAGCTAATGCACAAATTGTGAGAACTGTGAAATAAGGACTCCACAACAAAGCCCATGGTCTAACTAAACTAAGAGTAAGAACACGGGGAGATGAGTATACTGTAGCTGTTATCTGATGAAGCAGAACATTAATGTGCTGGAAAATCTTAGGTAGAACCAGTAAGATCCTGATTATATTGTCTTCACTCTCTCATTTACCAATTGCAATGAGTTCAGTGCATTACAGAAAGTCATAGAGGGAGAATATTGTTTCCAATACCAAACTTCTTTTATTATGTGGGTTGAAAAACAATCCTAGTATAAAGTCTAGTTTTTCACTTTTTTGCTGTGTCATGATACAAATAAGTTTTAAATTTTAATAGAGCCAAATTTATTAATCTTGAAATTATTTCTTGGGGAGAAGTATATCCCAGACAAAAAAATAATTCCCTACCAAGAGGTCAAAAACATTTCCACTATCTTCTTTCCTCACCACTTTAGATTTTGGTTCTCAGAGGCAGGTGTTTAATCAACCTAGAATCGACTTTTATTTCAAATGCAAGATAAGGACTCAACTGTTTTTCCATATCAATAACCAATTGATTCCAGCACCATTTATTGAATAGTTCATTCTTTCTCTCCTATACTGTAATTCCATCTCTGGCAAATCAATTTTTTTCATTTATTCAACATTTATATAGCATCTATTATGTATGTGTCAGCACTCGTTTATACCCTTACAGTCTATGAAGCTGTTTCTACTGTCCTCATCTTATGAATTGAGAGAGAAAAAAACTAACTTGACCAAAATCACACAGAGAATTAGTGGAGGAGCTGGGATTCAAATATTGAGTGTCCTGACTTCAAAGTCCATGCTCTTAACTCCCATGCTATGCTTTCTCTCCAGATAGGCACAAGTGTTTATGGACTTCATTCCGTTCCACTGGCTCACCTGTGCCATTTCCATACTGTCTTAATCAATATGGTCTTATAATAAATCTGTACAGGACAAGTTCCACCAACATGGTGTTCTTCTTCATGAGTGTCTTAACTGTTCTTGGCCCTTCACTCGTTGGTCCCCATGTAGTTTTGGCAGCAACTTGTCAAATTACATGAACTAACCAGTTGAGATTTGACTTAGGTAGTATTAACTATATAGATCAATCTGAGGTAAAATGACATCATTATGACACTGAGTCTTCCTATCTACAGTATGGTATATGTCCAGATTTATTTCAGATTGCCTATATCTTTCAATAAAGTTTTCAAATGTTATCTAAAGTCTTACATATCTTTTATAAAATTTAATCCTAATATGCCTTATAGTCCTTTTAGTCTCTGTTGACATTAATGTTATAGTTTAAGATATATTTCCTTTTTTCTTGTTGCAATATGAATGCAACTTATTTCCATAGGTTGATCTCATATCCGGCAACCCTGTTGAACTCTCATGAATTTTAATAATTTATCCAGTATTTATTGTTAGCTTTTATTTTAAAATCATTAATATGCAAGGATAGAATTTTACTGAAAGCTTTCTCACATTTATTAAGTTAATGTTTCTTTAATTTGTTAATGTAGTAAATTACATCTACACATTTTCTATCTTACAGTATCTTTGCATTCCTAGCATAAATGCAACTTGGTCATGAGGCATTATTTTAGATATATATTGTTAGATAGTTATTGTTGAGTTGGGTTTGTTGATATGTTTTTGGACTTTTATATATATGTTCATAAATGAGAGTGCTTCCTAATTTTCTTTCCTGTACTGTCACCTGAGTTTGGTATCAAGTTTATACTTTTCTCATAAAATAAATGGGAGAACCACCTTTTTCTACTTTTTTGAAGAATCTAAGGTTGTTAGCATGGTGTTCTCTGGATATCTGGTAGAATTCATTGTTGCACTGTCTTTACAGGCCTGTTTTTTCTCACTATTTTTAATTTCTACTGCGTCTGAATTCACATTCCTCATTTTTTCCCTCTAGAGGCAATCCTGTTCTGAACCAACTGGTGGTTTGTGGGTCTCTAGTATGTCATTTTAAAATTTATTTTCTTCTCTGATCTTCATTATTTTCTTCTATTTTCTTTGTGTTTATTCTGCTGTTACTTTTCTAATTTCTTAAGTAAGAAACTTGGCTTATTGGATTTTCAGCCTTTCTTTCTACTGTAACATGAACCTTCTGAGGATCACTCTAGGTACTTGTCAAAAATATCACTGTAATTCAGTTCTGAGTATTTCCTGCATTCCATGATGATTTTTTCTTTGATCCACAAGTTACTCAAAAGTATTTATGAGGATTATTTACCTTTTTATTAGTGACATCTAATAGTAGTCAGTGTACAGCATCCTATATGGCACCAATTCTTTGTACTTTGCTGCGATTTACTTTATGGTCTAGGACATGATCAATGTCTATAATACTTCATGTGTGGTTGAAAAATATGTATTCTCTAATTAATTGATGGGCACAGATACAAATATGTATACACATCAATTAGATCAAACTTGTTAACTGCATTGCTCTATTTTTCTAGGTCTTGATGCATTTTTTGTGTATGTGGCTTGACTCAATGAAAGGTATATTGAAATGTCCCATTCTGATGATAAATTTGTCAGTTTTGTCTGAGGGTTTTATAAATATTTTGAGTTATTAGATACATAAAAATAGAATGTCATATACTTTTTGTCATTCTATAGGAATTCTACCCCTAATAATGCTTTTTGCTGTAAAGTTTGCTTTGTCTAATACTACCAGTTTAGCTTTGCAGATTTTCTTTTAGTTAATATTTGCCTGGATATAGTTGTCTATCCTTTTACTTTCAAATGTTATGTATCCTTATGTTTAAATGTGTTATCAACTACCTATCCCAACCTTTCAATCTGTTTTTCAGCTAGTGGGTTTGTTCTATGTATATTTACTATAACTGATATCTTTGGATATATTTTTGTCTCCATATTTTGTTTTACTTACTCTGTTTTCTCTAAGTTTTCCCCCACCCTATCTTTAAGTATTAAGTACCGTATTTTCATCAGGTTGAAAGTTATACTTTTCTTTTTGTGGTTACCTTAAACTTTTTTTTAACCCCCAATTTTTTCTGTATCACTCTAAAAGCAAGAAGACCATATGAGAAAGCAGACAGGTTTTGGAGTCAAGCAGATTCCAAATCTACTGGAATCTCAGCTCTGCCATTTACTAGCCTTGTAACCTTGAGGAAATTCCATACTGCCCCTTAGCTTATTTCCTCAATTGTAAAATGCAATGGTTATAAGGCTTACATGAGATAATCTATTTAAGAAGCTATGGACAATAGCTGGGTCATAGCACATGCTTTAAAAATAGTAGCCTTTTGGATACAAACAGATGTGGGTTCAAGTCTTAGTTCAAGTAGAGAAAAAAGATCATTAAGTTTTAAGAAGTGTGTGTGAGACAGGGAGGGGGTGGTTTCAATGAAGATTCCTTTTCAGCCCTAATTACAATGTTAGAAACTGTGAGAATAATCTTTTACTCTAATACCAACTTGGTGAACTTACCCTTTATGATATATGCATAGACAAGGCAGTCGTGCTATAGTATCTCCCTGCTGCAATTCTTCAAGGCATATTGCACATTCCCCAGCATCTTTACTCAGTACATCCTCTGAAGAAAGATAAAATGAATTCAGGGCAATAAAATTATCCATCAAATTGAAAAAAGAATTATGTGAATGCTAATAAATAAAAAGTTGTGATTCTACCTTACTTGGCATACTTTTTCATCAGAAATACATAAAACTCAGCACGTGTATCTGAAATACTATTCATAAATGACTGAATAATGTTCACCTTTACTCCCAGTGTCTCGCGTTTTCATTTCTATTTTACTGAAGCATTTCAGTAAGCAAAAACAGTACAGAATCACCCAAGTTGTGCAGATTTTGCTCTATAAGTTTATCAATAAGCTAGTTATTTGTACCATGAATTTCTTTTCCTTTAATGTGATCAAGATAGTTCAAAGAATTTTACAGTGTAATGTGGCAAAAAAGACATGAAAACAAAATACTATAATTTTAAAAATTACAAAATAATAAAATTGGGTAAGTACAAGAAATCACCGCGAATGTGGGACTTTTAAAAAGTTGCTTAACTCAGGAAAATGCAAAGGAATATCAAAAGTTTTGTGTAGATTCTGAAAGAGACTTTTGGAAATTTGATGACTTCAGAATTGGATGCAGCAATTCTTCATAATCTTTTCCCATGACAATGCCAAGCCTACTCCAGGTATTAATTAGAGTGGCTTCCAAAAGATCTGCAGGGTATTTAAAAACGAACAAACAAACAGACGAACAAACAAAAAACTCTATGGTATGCTTAAAATCTCCAAGGGTAAATCTCTTCATAATACAAATTTTTCTTTTAAAAATTATATTCTAATGCTAAATTTTAATTTTTAAAAGCAGTTTGCTTAAAATAGAGTATGTAAGCCAGATTTACTTTGTTACTCTTTTTTAAACGCAGAACAAAACATGCCATTACTGAAGAACATGGATAAACTGCTCCAGAGTATATGTTCTTCGTTTAGAGAATGGAAAGCTAAAGCAGGAACATGCAATATGAATTTATACTATAATTAACAAATTACTGCTTTTCAAAATAAAAAATCAAATATGCTAAACGGGAAAGACTGCATCAATCTTTATCTAAATTCTGAAAGAAACAGAAAGGCAGGGAAGTTTTCTAAAGTTATATATTTGTTTGATATGCCCATTCTTCCTATAAAAACCAATCAACAAATTCGATTGTGTACATTATCTGTAATAGTACCTTGCAGAAAAATTCATTCTATAAGAAGTGGTTCTTCCCTTTAATTATTCATTTGAGACTGCACATTAAGAGGGAACACAGACTCTATTTGGTCTACATAAGAGAAGTTACCAGGAGATGATTTACTCAGAAGGCTGGAGGAGGTAACAGGGCACCTTCTGCAGAATAAGCAAAGGCCTCAGCAAGAAGGGTGTATATCAGCTGAATGGACTGAATACCTTAGGAGTGATTTCAGCTAACTACTGGGCAGCTCACAGGCTAATGTATTACAATCAGAAACTTAAGCAGGTAAAGATTTCTGGACAAGCAAAGCTGGATAAATGGAAAATGTTATTACCACTTCCCTGAAGTGCCCTCCCTTTCCCCAGTTTTTTTTTCTCTTGGCCCTAGAGATCCTACCCACTACTCCCATTCCATCCTGCACCCCATGCCTTTTCTCATCCTCTTGATCTCCATTTTTCTCTTATTGTTCTGGTATCTTTCAATAGGAGATTCAGATAGGGAACAAGTTTAATGTAAAGCATCTTACTGATAGCAGTGAGAACAAAAAGAAAAAGGATCTAAAGGAAACACTAAAAAAACCTGGTAAAGGTCTATAATTCCAAGTAATACGGTATATTCTCACCACTTACATATTTTTTCATCACAAAGATATACCATTCTTATAAAAGAATTATGTGAGAATAAGTTTCACAACCAATTTTAAAAAGTCAACCACCACTTTTTATCAAACCTAAAACATCAACGGTCATAATATGCACCATTAGCTTATATACCACCAAATAAAAAAAAAAAAAACGCTTCCATTAAACTATGATGCAACATTGATTTTAGACGTATCTCATTTTCAGAGCTCTTCAAAGTCTGAGATGAGAATATTTTAAAAGGTCTAAATTTTATCCTATTTATAAGAAAATTTATAGTACAACAAAGACAAATCCAGCCTACCTATAACTAACAGAATGATACATATTTTAAGAACACAATGCTTAAAATTGACAGGGACGAGACTTATCCCTCAGATGCTTTGCAGGTACTAATTTTAAACAATCTTTTTAGTGTAATTCAGAATGCTGGGTTAAAGTCATTTAAATGATAAGCTCCCTTAAACCCTAGCAATAAAAAATAATCAGAACTGTACTTCAGAATTGTATTTTCTGTTCAAGAAAAGTATACCTGTACACAAAAACATCCCGAACACACTGATTTCAGTGTAGAAACAGCCTAGTGTCTACTAAAAATAGCTTCTAGTGAAATAATCTCTGCTCAGAAAATTAAATGCTAATGTTAACATATTGTAGCCACTGATCAGCTGCGTTTTGATGAGCAACTCTGAGTTAGAAGATAGTTCACTCTGACTTCAAAACCTCATGATTACAGCTTCAAATAGCAAATGCTTAATTTTCACATTTTAAAGTCTTGTTTCCACTAGAATGTGTCTTTGTAGGTTTAAAAACACTTTCAGTTTTGAAAATTCACTGTGGAATGTGATTAATTTTTGCCTACCTGAGGGTTTGCTAGAGTAGTCCCCTCTCTCACCCCTATAATGACACTTTCATTCAAAGGAAAGTTTTGAGCTTTTGCCTTCCCATAGGTAACTAGGTTTCACAATTTTGAAAGACTTGTTAGTAATGTAATACATTCATACTTAAAAATAGGACCTGGAAATACCACTAAACCCAGGATACTAAAGCATCTTCAAGACAGTTGGGAAAAGATAAAAAATCTAAAGATCAACCAGTTGAAAACATTCATGAAGATATCACCCACAGGGATTAAGAGTCACACTTCGGAACCGGAATATCTTGGGGTAGACTACTAACTAGCCAAAAGTGATATTAAAGAAGCAGAGAAGGGAACACTCACAGATTTAACTACAATAGTTGGCTAGTCTGGATTCCTCCTCCACAAGCAACGATCAATGGAGACACGCGAGATTGTAAATAGGGAACTAAACGTGTTGCTTTATAAGACATCTTAACATCTACAGTACCTCAACATCTATAGTAGTAAATGTTAAATAAGCGCATTGCTTACCAATTTAGTGCCTTGTCTTATTCATGTAATCTATGCATTAATTTAGATGTACTGATTACAGGAAAAGAAAAGTTAAAAGACTGGACAAGAGCAACGATTTTTAACCAGAAGTGGGCACTAGAATCACTTCAATGGGTGCATTTTCAACATTTAACAAAAAATTGTATGTACCTGAGCCCCATCCCTGGAGATTCTGAAATATATGCCTGCCTCACAAATGCGATTGCTATCAAAGAATAGCTTAAGTAGAAAGAGTCTAAGATTTAAAGTTGAAAACTTAATATGAATTTCCATTCTCACGAACAAAAATGTTCATCAACCTCAAGTTTCCTTTTATTCTTCTGCTAAAGGTACTCAAAATATTAGAGATGAAATTTTAAAGAATTGTATGAAAAAAATTAAGTTATAAAAAACACTAAACAAAATGTTAGTTATTACCAGATAGTACTTCATGCACCTCTCCAAAAACAAAGTCAGTCATCTTCCTATTTCTTTTGCTCTCCATCTTGGTATTCCACTTGTTTCAAAATTAAACACTGTCATCAAATAACTCCATGAAGACCACAAACTTAGGCACCTATTGTAACTGCCAGGTTGGAAACAACTCCAAGCAGATGACGCTGCCTAATTAATTTATGTTTTGGCTTCATTCCATATTTTAAAAGGATTAAAAATATGCACTTAACGTGCTTTTGACACATTTAAGTCACATGTTAATCCTATGAAGTAATAACTATTGTCACCTTCATTTTACACATAAGGAAACTGAGGCTCAAAGAAGTAAAGTAACTTACCAGAAGTTACTAAACTAGTAAGTCCTGGTGTCAGGATTCAAATTTAGACTAAGTCCTTGGCATTTTTCCTACTTCATGAATTCTGCTACAAGAAACAATTTCACTTTAAAGTAACACAAATATCAAAGCAACTGGACTGTTTTAAACAACTAAGTTTTAAATAAGCTACATATTTAGAGGAAGTGCTGTCAAGACTGGTCACACGCTTTATCTTCTGGATAAAATAACTGAAATGACCTTACAATTAACTGCTTACACAATTTAAAACAGCTCTGTACAACAGAACTACGGAGGGTGATGAAAAAACATTTTTTATCTGTGCTGTCCACAATGGTAACCACTAGCCACATATGGCCTGGAAACAGCACTTGAAATGTGGCCTGTGAAACTGAGAAACTGAATTTTTAATTTAATTTTGGTAAAATATGAAACTTTAAAATATATAATGGGTAATGAATACACATTTATAAACTAGTTACAAACTTCTGTTACTTGATATTTCACTTACAGCTTCTCAAGCTCTTAAAATATGCATTGTCCAAAGAAATTACTTAAAATTCAAGCAGCCAAATATGCAAAATTAAAATACTTAGCAGGTCCAAGCACATATCCATATAGTTATTGCAGATCAAGACAACATGAAAAAAAAAGAAAGCAAACAGCCAAAATTCTTAAAACAAAAAAACAAAAAAACAAATCAACAAATAACACTGAATTTGTTAGGCAGCCAAGGAAACTTCATGCGAAAATTTCATAATCATCACAACTTTATTTTCAGATCAAGCATCCAAACAGGTATATGATCTTTTCAGCAAAATACAATGCCAAGCACTATTATGGATCAGGCATTTTACCTGAAGACTTATTTTTTGTTCTTGAACCCTCAATGATAGCAGTAGAAAACAAAAGCAGCTGAAATGTGAAATAATCCCTAGAAAAATCAAGAATTAAAAAAATTTACAACATTAGTAAAAAGCAATTACTCAAAGAACAAAAAATTGGGGCT